AGGAAGAGGCCGTGGGGCTAAAAAAAAAACAGAGCAAGGTGAGGAAAGAAAAGGGGCGGCGGACGGCGGGTAAAGAGGAGAGCAAAGAAAAGCTGGGGAATTTGGGGGACAACGGAGGGAAAACAGAAAAGGGAAGAAAGGATAAGGAAAGGAGAGCTGGGGGAAGGAATCTGGAAACGAAGAAAAGCACAAAGGGAACAAACAAGAAAGACAAAAGATTCGGCTGAGAAGAAAAGCAAAGCAAGAGGGGAAGGGGGGCTGCGGCTGAAAACGGAAAAAACGGAGGAGGAAAAGAGTTTCAGGCCAGAGGCAAGAAGGAAAAGGTTGCGACCAGAGCCCCACCATCTCGCCGGAATCATTACTATCATCCACTGATTTTCACTATGAAAGGCCATAGTCAGGTAATTTTCTTCATTGCAATTCGGTCTTCTTTCAAACATAAGCTCTGAAAGCTTTTCAGAGCATGTACGTCGTGGACTACCGTGCGCATGTTGTTTCAATCTCACGTTGATTGTGCATGTTTTTTATATACACATGCTCTGTGGATCAATTGGACTACATTTCTTAGGTGGCTGATAAAATTTTGGGCGGGGTTTTAGAATCGTTTGAGCAAAAATTTGTTGAATTTTTTAATGCCCATGTATTGCTCGATGAAATGCCTAATTGGAAGTTCTGGTTGAAGGACATTTGATTTCTGATTTGCGTGTGTTCGGCCAGTCCATGCTTGTCAAAATAATTGATTCGGATGGGTCTGTTTGGCGTCCGTTTGTTTGGCATCTGTTCTGTTGCTCTTTTGCTTGGTGTTCTTTTGGTATGAACTCAAATTAATGATATGAGTGGATTGAGATCAGATTCGTGTGAGAGTCGTTTATGTGTGAGCCTGAAATCGGACTTTCTAGTGTTCTTCGTCTGTAAAGAAGAACGAAATCAGGTGATTGTGCAGTTTGATGCTGAGCCGTTTGGAGAAGATGGTTTTTTTTTTGATTTACAACTTTAGTCCCTCCATTTTCCATTTCTTTGTAATTTAACCTTCAGGACTTCATAATTTAACCCCTCATTTCTGTCTAATTTGATTGTGGCCCAAAATCTGGAAAAATCAAACTAATTTCACCCTTTTTAAGCTTAATCCTCTGTTTGCATATTTTATGTGACTTTTTGGATAGATTAATCCTGGAATTTAGTTCATAATTGTGGCTCAATATTTTTTGCTGATTTGTCTATGTTGTTGGGTTTAGTATTATGGTTTAGGTTTTGGGTAATTATATTTGATTGGGTTTGCAAATGTGGATTTTAGTTTATTATCTTTGGGTTTTGGTTTGGATTAGAGGGTAGAAGCCCACCTGGTTTGTTGGATAATTTTGGGTCATAAATAATAGGCTGGCCCATTCCATTTGCCTTGGTTTTTCGAGTGAGTTTAGGATGCTCTGGCCCAACAAATAAAGGAAAAGGCCCAATGGCCTGTTAAGTCTAGAAGCCTGATGACGAAATTTCATTCCAGTCCCCTAACTTTTGGATATTTTCACTATGGCCTTAAAAACTTTTAACTTCTTTCAATTGAGTCCCTAATTTAATTGCAAATAGGTCCTTAAACTTTATTTTCTTTTATTTTTAATCCCAAAACTTTGTTAATGTTTGCAATCAAGTCCTTTATTCTTTTGACTTCTTAAATGTGGGTTGTTTGCATGATTTAATTGATTCAATTTCATGTTTATTTTTATCTTTTGTGATTTATTTCTCAACTAAATTGGTGCCTTGACCCTTTTTATTGTTTTGAAGCTATTTTTCTTTCATTTGATTACCGTTGCAAGGGAGGTACACTCTATCCCTTATTTTACTTTATTTGACCCTATGTGCACTTATGTGATTTATGTGTTCAATCGCCTGCCTTTTGAATGTTTTCCTTTTATTTATTTATTTGCTTTACTTGTCTTAATTTCGTATATTTATTTTAGTTCATTTTGATTATTTGAAAGGCATTTAAATGCCAAGTTGTAATAGTTAGGTTTATTTTATTTATTTTATTTCCGCCTCCCCTCTTAGATTGTAGTAGGCTTCCCCCCGAATGTAATAGATAGGGATTTATTCGTTTTATTCTTGCTGTGTGTGATTTGCATGCCTATGTGCTATGTGTTACTGCTTTCTTAGGACGTGCATCTAGATATCATGCCTATGTGCTATGTGTCTTACGTGATTTATGTGTTTATCTGCTTTATTTTACTTTATCTGATTTTCTTAGACTATAATAAATGCATGTTATCACACTAGTCCAATGCTAGATGTGGTTCCGTTCCCGTCACCACACTAGTCCAACGCTAGTTGTGGCTCTTTGTTCCGATTTCCCACTAGTCCAATGCTAGTGAGGATTCATAGACATGGGCTAATCCGATGCTAGACCCTTAGGGACCTCCCTCGTTAGATCATGTTTGTATGATTACATTACACTTCATGCATATTTTTCCATTTTAGGATCTTATCATTTTCACATAATATTTCCTCTAATAAAATATCCCTTACCCCTATGTATATATAACATTTAGGTTTGCACCTCATTTAGGAAATTAGGGGGTAGATTAGTACATTTTGCTTGATTAGATTAGGGATAGCCCCTTGGATATGGGATATGGACGAGTTTGGCTTTTCTAGCCTTAGCACGCTCGTATTCCTTCTATTAAAAGGGAAAATTGAGTCACGAGCATTAGTCCCCCGTACCCGATATGATGCATTCCTTTAAGACATGTATATCTCTATAATTATTTTATCCTTTTTTCTCATCATAGAGTCTCATATTTTGCATAATTCGTGACCTCTCCAAAGAGTCATTATTGGGCATCACAATTAATGTGATTGGCACTATTCAAGCTTTGAAGAGAAATTTTGCCCCTCGATACCCTCCTAGGTCTAGGGTTTGCATTCATATAGTACATCCAAATGTGATAAATTCTTTGGTTAAAACAAGAAAATCCTTGGCTAAATCACGCAACTAGCCTTGGCTAGGTTGAAGGGGTGCCTTGGATTTTTTTCCTTGCCTTCCCCTTCGTCAAATGTGACTCCCGAACCTTTCCTTTCATTTTCGTAGACTAGGAGTCGTTTAAAAAGGGTTTTCCTATTTTTTCGAAAATGCATTTTAGGTGACTTGGTACACCTTAACTCTATACCAAGTGGCGACTCCGATTTTTATTTCAAAAACCCTTTTAAACTATATTTTGGGTCAAATCGTCGCATTTTAAGTCCCATCTAGACCCACATTTTCTTTATTTTCTTTTTAAATCAAAAATCATATTTTCAATCAAAAAATTCACTTTTTTAAACCATTCATTTATTTTTCTTATAAAAAATGGGGCGCGACAAATTGGAAGTTGGTTGTTTGCCTGGGAGGATTTCTAATTTCTTCAAGGTAAGCTATCAGAGGTTTTGAGAGCATTGGTAAGATTGTTCGAGTGCTCTTTGAATGACATACACGAGAGCTGAGCATATACACGCGAGGGAGTGAGTGAGGGAACCATATCTATACTTGCTTTGCTACTAATTTTTTGCAAGTTTCCTACATCATGTCGGAGGAGAGCGACGCATCCAAATTTGACTCCAAATTGCGCAACCAAGCAATGATGGGGGAGTTCCAATGCATGTTTCAGGAGTCCATGGCGTCCCTACACCAACAGATGGACCGCTTAGAGCTTTCTCAAGCTCGGTCCAATGCTGCCCATCGAGATGCGCCACCTCTCGAGGAGCTAGCTTCTAATAGCGAGGAAGATGACTTCATCCGTCGGCCCAAGCAGGACTACCGAAGAACCGATGATGGATTAAAGGGGGTCAAGATCAAGATTCCCTCATTCCAAGGCAAGTCTAGTCCAGAGGCTTACCTAGAATGGGAACAACAAATCGAGATGATATTCGAGTGCTAGGACTACATCGATGAACAAAAAGTCAAACTGGCAACCCTCGAATTCACCGATTACGCTATTGTCTGGTGGGAGCAGGAGCGCACTAGCAGGCGCTGCAATAGAGAGCGGGCCATTAGTACATGGGAGGAGTTACGAACCACTATGAGAAAAACGGTTCGTACCCAGCCATTATTACCGCGATCTATACCAGAGGCTCTAGACATTAGTTTAAGGAAGCTGCAGTGTGGAGGACTACTACAAGGAGATGGAGATCACCATGCTCTGAGCAGACATTGTGGAGGATAGAGAGGCTACTATGGCAAGATTTCTTAACGGCTTGAGACCTGAGATCACCGAGTTGGTGGAGTTGCAAAACTACGTGGACATGCCTGAGTTAATTGATAAGGCGTCCAAGATCAAGAAGAGGCTTAAGAGAAGGGGTAACCCTCGAAACCCTAACTCTCTCAGCCACGCCTCTTTGGAGGGGCAATCCGACCTTTGAGCGGAACGGCCTAGTACAGGGGTGTCTAAATTCACTCCTAAGTCCGAGCACACCAAAGCAAGCACCCAAGGCAACCACCAAGCCTCCATTCGACGCCTCCAAGCCACGAAGCCGTGACAAGTGTTTCAAATGCCATGGATTTGGGCACATTGCTTCTCAGTGTCCCAATAGGCGTACCATGATTGTCCTATCGAGCGGAGATGTTGTATCTGACGACGAGGACGAGTTCGCTGAGATGCCTCCATTGATTGATGAAGGTGATGATTCCGAGGTGGAGGTTGAGGCCACTATTGAGCAAGTGGGTGTTGCTCTAGTAGCCGTCGAGCTCTTGCGACCCAGGTCAAGAGAGGTGGATGAGCCCCAACCGTGACAACATCTTCTACACACGGTGTCACGTCAAGGGAAGAGTATGTAGCCTCATCATTGACGCGGGTAGTTGTACTAATGTGGCAAGCACTTTCATGGTAGATCATCTTTCCTTGCCCACGTTGAGGCACCCTAACCCATACCACTTGTAATGGCTCAATGAGAGTGGGGATATCAAAGTCACTAAGCAAGTGGTGGTGCCTTTCCGAATTGGAAAGTATGAGGACGAGGTCCTTTGCGACGTCGTTCCCATGCAAGCTTCTCACATTTTGTTGGGACGGCCACGACAATATGACAAGAAGACTACTCATGATGGCTTTACCAACAAGTATTCCTTCTTGCACCACAACAAGAAGATGACTCTTGTCCCTCTCACACCTCAGCAGGTGCATGAAGACCAACTGCAATTGCAACAGGAGCATGAACGAGAATTGGCTAAGAAGCCAACCGATTCTAAAGCAATCACTAAGGCACCGGTCGAGGGGACATCTACCCCTGGATCATCTGGTCGAGTGGAGAAACGGCCTAACTTGCTTGCCAAGAACAGGGAAGTTCGCAAGTTACTTTTATCTAAGCAAGTTGTCTATGTTTTATATTGCAAAGAGGTGATTTTACTTTCTTAGGAAGCACTCAATGACTTACCTCCTGAAATCTCCTCTTTATTACAAGAATTTGAGGTCATTTTTCCAGATGAGATCCCCAGTGGTCTACCACCACTTAGAGGGATCGAGCACCAGATCCACTTCATTCCTGGAGCATCCTTACATAACAGACCGGTCTACAAGATGGGCCCTGAGGAGACTAAGGAGATCAAATGGCAAGTAGATGAGCTCTTAGAGAGAGGTTGGACTCGAGAGAGCATGAGCCCATGTGCAGTTCCAGTCATCCTTGTCCCCAAGAAGGAAGGCACTTGGAGGATGTGTGTAGACTGCCGTGCTGTCAACGCCATCACAGTTAAGTATCATCACCCTATATCTCGTTTAGATGATATGCTTGACGAATTGTATGGTGCAGGCATATTCACCATGATAGATCTTAAGAGTGGCTACCATCAAATTCGAATGAAGGAAGGTGACGAGTGGAAGACAGCCTTCAAGACTAAGTATGGTGTATATGAGTGGTTAGTTATGCCTTTTGGTTTGACTAACGCTCCTAGTACATTTATGTGCCTTATGAATCATGTGCTTTGCCCGTTCTTAGGTAAATTTGTTGTTGTTTATTTTGACGACATTCTGATATACAGCAAGAGTCCTGAGGAACATGTAGCACATGTATAACCTTGGCAAATGTACTTTCTGCACTAATGAGTTTGTTTTTCTTGGTTATAAGGTTAGTGCACAGGCATTAAAGTGGATGAGAGCAAAATCCAGGCCATCAATGAGTGGCCCGTGCCCAAGACCATGAGTGAAGTTCGGAGTTTCCACGGCCTTGCAAGTTTCTATCGCTGGTTCATGAGGATTTCAGTACTATTGCTGCCCCTCTGACCGCCATTATCAAGAAAGACGTGAAGTTCGAGTGGGGGAAGCTTAGGAGAAGGCATTCCAACTCCTTAAACATAAGCTCACACACGCACCCTTATTGTCCTTACTTAGTTTTGATAAAACTTTTGAGATTGAGTGTGATGCTTCTGGTGTAGGAATTGGAGCCGTGTTGATCCAAGAGGAAGGCCGATCGCGTACTTTAGCGAGAAGTTGAATGGTGCTGCCTTGAACTACTCTACCTACGATAAGGAGCTTTATGCTTTGATTCGTGCACTGGAGACATGGCAACATTACTTGCGGCCTAAAGAATTCGTCATCCACACTGACCACGAGGCGTTAAAGCATCTCAAGTCTCAACACAAGTTGAGTAAGAGACATGTGCCGCGGGTCAACTTTGTGGAGTCATTTCCCTATGTGATCAAGTACAAAACTGGCAAGACCAATGTCGTTGCCGATGCACTATCCAGGAAGTATGCCTTGATTGCCTTACTTGATGCTAAACTCCTTGGATTTGATCTTATCAAAGAACTCTATGATACCGACTCGAATTTCTCTGATATCTACAAATCTTGTGCTAAGTCGGGTCAGAGTAAGTTCTTCATACATGATGAATTTCTGTATTGTAATGACAAATTGTGCATTCCGTCATACTCTATTCGGGAGTTACTAACCCGTGAAGCTCACGGAGGTGGTTTGATGGACATTTCGGTGTCACCAAGACTCTGAGTGCTTTACAGGAGCATTTCTATTGGCCACGCATGAAGCGGGACGTGGAGCGAGTAGTGTCACGCTGCATTACCTGTCACCGTGCCAAGTCCAAGCTCTAACCTTCGGTTTGTACACACCTCTACCTATTTCTTCGGAACCTTGGGTTGACATTTCAATGGATTTTGTGCTTGGTCTGCCTAGGAGTAAAAGGGGTCATGATAGCATTTTTGTTATTGTTGATAGATTTTTAAAATGGCTCATTTCATTCCATGTCACAAGACGGACGATGCCACTCACATAGCTGATCTTTTCTTTAGGAAAATTGTCCGTTTGCATGGTGTGCCTAGGACTATTGTCTCTGATAGGGATGTCAAGTTTCTATCTTATTTCTGAAAAACTTTGTGGGGGAAGTTGGGAACTAAGTTGTTATTCTCTACATCCAGTCACCCCCAGACCGATGCCCAGACTGAGGTCGTTAATCGCACATTGTCTACTTTACTTAGGGCCATCATTAAAAAGAATCTCAAAACTTGGAGGAGTGTTTACCGCATGTCGAGTTTGCTTATAACCGTACAGTTCATAGTGCTACACAGTTTTCTCCTTTTGAAATTATTTACGATTTTAATCCTTTGACTCCCTTGGATTTGATGCCTTTGCCTTTGTCTGAGCCTACTAACCTTGATGGCAAGAAGAAAGTCGACTTTGTCCAGGCTTTGCACCAGCAGGTGAGGGCCAACATTGAAGCTCGAACCAGCAGTACCTCAAACATGCCAACAAGGGTCGGCGTCGCGTAGTGTTTGAACCAGGTGATTGGGTCTGGTTACACTTGCGCAAGGAGCGTTTCCCTGTCCAATGTCGTAACAAGTTGCTACCCCGTGGAGATGGACCATTCTAAGTTGTGGCGCGCATCAATGATAACGCCTACAAGCTCGATCTTCCTGGTGAGTATCATGTCTCGGCTACTTTTAATGTTGCTGATTTGAGCCCCTATCTTGCAGATGATGAGGTCGATTTGAGGACAAATCTTTCGCAAGAGGAGGGGAATGATGAGGAGGTCAAGAGAGCTATCCAAGTGGAGCAAGTGAAGGTGCCATTGGGGCCTATGACACGAGCTCGCGCGAAGAGATTGAATGAGACACTTCAAACATTGGTTCGTGCAGCCCGAAAGTCGAGTGGAGAGCCAAAGGCCATCGAGGGTCTCAACGAAGCTAGGCTTGTTGTCCTAGTTTCGGCCATCACTGAAGATTAGAAGCCCATGAGTTGGCTAAGGGGTTCATGGCCCATTATTAGTTTAGTAGAGTGTAATAAAGAGGTTCAACTAGCTTGTGGTTTGGACCTTAGTCGTTGTTAGTTTTTGAGTCAATGGGCTAGGCCATGTGGGCCTTAGGGTCAATAGCATTTTAGCGAGCCACATAGTTAGTCCCTACGCTGAGCTGGTTCGGGGGTCTCGCTGCCCGATCAGCGGGTCAGGGGTCCAGGGGCGACGCGCCCCGGTGGGAGCTCGGGGCGACGCCCTGGAGCTTACGGTACGTATGTTGTGTCGCTAGTGTCGGCCCAAAGAGAAGCCCAAGGGCTGGTCGAATTTCCTTCATGCTTTCCAAGCTTTGTTAGGTCTTAGTCACGACTACAAATAGCCTTAAGTCCTTGTTTACATTCAGTTTTTGATGATTAATAAAATTACATTGAGAGTTCTCTCAAAACTTCATTGAAGCACCTTGAATATCTTCGATTTATATCTTAGGAATTCAATTGACTTATCAATCTAGAACCGTGCTAGATTAGCTATCCAATTATACCGAATCAACGGTAGAACATCAGGAGCAGGCAACTATCTCTGAAAAAGTTCCATGGTCCATATATGTAGGATTTGATTTGACCCATAGAAGAATTTTGACCCTTTTTGACAATTGGTACATGCAACAAAAATGTCAACCAACACTGTTGGTACTATAGAGCCTTGCCGATCTTTAATCCCAAAAAACAGATCAGACAGAAGTTTAGTGATTTTGAAACCAATTTTCTTATCTTTTCTAGGGAATAAATAAATCCCTACCATCACAAGTCCATATACTAGCGGCCTCTTACGCTCCCATGTTGGCTTAGATGTAAATGAAAAATCCTCCGAATGCTTATCAAATCCGTCTTTCGTTGTGAATCTATCAAATAAAAATTTTACATCTATGTTCTGATCTGATCTTTGCACTACAGACTCTTTTAATCCCATAAAATGACAAAACTCGATCTTGCCAGAAGCAATCGGAAATATCACCACTGTGCCCTTTATAGATAAATTTAAAAGACCAGCTTCCTCTTCAATTGTCAGAGTCAGCTCCTTGTTTCCTATCCTAAATATTGAACAGTTAGGATCCCACAATTGAATCAAAATCTCTACCAAATACCCATCAGATTGAATGTCTTTGAAGTCTCCAATTGGTCCGAGATAAGAGGCAACTTAATTGATTTCACTAAATGAGAGAAGTTCTGGCCATTTTTGAAGTCTTCTACAAATACCGAGGTTCGTTGACCACGTGATCAACGGGTTTAGGTGATCCGCTGCGTTCGTCGTCTTCAACGTGAGTCTCTATCTTCTAGATCCAAGTCTTTCTGTATGGGTTGCATCACAAGGTTGGTGCTGTTCGTATCACAGACCTTGTTCTACTTTAGATGTATTTTCCATCTCAAACAATGTGCCTCTTTCCAAGTTTCCTTTTAGAGTAATCAAAATTTTGTAGATGTGTTCTATTATGGCACTCGATTGCTGGTTATTTGGGAACTTGATAACTTGTCGCTTCTTACTTTTTCCTTGAATTTGGATATATTTTTGGCTATCTATTATCCTGAATATGGTCTAAACTTACTAGTTACTCCTTTCATTGGCACACTTAATTCCTTTGGAGTCTCATTGGTTTCCAATTATTTCCTTATCCAAATACTTTATGTGCTTCTATCTTTACCATGATCAGATTGATTTTTTGGGCTTTAATCATCTATCAAAATTTAACTTTCATAGGATATAGTTGACTATATACTTATAATCATCTAAATGTTTCTCTGTTCTCTTTGTCTGAGTGTAGCTTTTTCTTGGATAAAGGTAATTTAAACTCTTATGATCCTTAAAAACCTCAATTACTCCACAAAGGTAGTGTATCCACTTTTAAAAACAAATAGTATGATTGTTTAGGGCCATTTGTGTGACGCCCCCACTTCTCCCAAGGGCGAACCCAAGGGTATCGGCGGGACGTCTGCCTAACTCTCGCCAGGACTTGATACCATTCTAGTTCAAACTTAAAAGTAAATAACCAATAACAAAATTTGAATTGAAAAATAAAGTCGCTTCCATACATAAGTGTTCAATCTTATATCGTAAGTATTCAAAATACATCAACTTCCCCAAAATATACAACTTCCAAAAGTCGTCTAATTAAATACATTTAATACCCTAATCAAAAGACCATCGAGTCGGGTTCTCCACAATTCCTTCCATTCCAATCCCTGTTAAAGAAAACAAAGCTAATGGGATGAGTTAACGCTCAGTGAGGCCAAGAAAATCATGCAAGCACATAATTCAAGTAGCATTAAACTCATACGAGAAATAAAATTATAACATTCAAGTAATTCACAAAATAACACAAAACACACTTGATAAGGATACGAGAGCTCTCAGGAGCTAGGTTCCACTTGCTTTGCGAGTCTCGATCATATACCTGCGCGTGACGACACTCCGTCATCCGGGTAGGTATTTTTAGTCCGTAGAACACCGCTTTACTTCACGAATCCCGTTCACCATTACACCCCTGTTCCGGGCCCGCTCATCATTTAAAAGGCGATACTACTCGAGTATGCCAAGCGAGATCTCTCAAATTGATCAAGCTTTACGAATATCTCATGGTTCACCAAACTTTCAGATCAAACCCATGCCGGCTCGAGTCGCAAAGTTAGGCTATGAGTTTAGGCGTCCCCCGAATACAAATACGAATATAAGTCGATGAGCAGCGCTCCATTTGACGATTCCAAACACGAATCACAAATACGAATCACGATTACGAATCATAACCATACGAATATGAGTCGATGAGACAACGCTCCAATTGACGGTTTCAAGTATAATGCACATAGCCAAATTCGAATATAATTTTCATTTGAAAGAGAACGAGTGCGATAAAGTACACACTCGACTCAAAAATTCCAAATTCACATAATTGATGCAAAACAATTCACGTACTTAACCACATAACATGCACTTGACACTCACCAAATCAAAACAAAAGTGAGTGAAAAAGTCTTTAACGATCTGCTTCGGGTTTCTCTTCGAGACCTTCTTGATCGCCAGAAGAAAAATGACCAACAATCACTCTCACACATTCACAAATTCCTTATCAAACAAAGAAGAACATGTGACGACCCCACCTCCTCCTAAGGCGTACCAAAGGGTTTGGCGGGCCGCCTGCCTAACTCTCGCCAGGACTCACTTACTCGTATCACGTGCATACATCCATGAACCATAAATAACATCTTAATTCAAGCTTATAATTTACATTGATGCACAATCAAGATACAAAACCTCAATATACCCAAACTGGTTCAAAGTGTATACAATCCAGATACAAAACATTCTATTCGAGTAATAGCGCGAGTACAAGTCAAAAGTCAAAACAACTAGACTACGCTAGTCTTTACACGTCTCACGCCTCGCTCGTACCCCTGTAAGGAAAACAAAACTAACGGAGTGAGCCAAAGCTCAGTGAAGTTCCAAATATCCAATTGGCCATCAAACAAAATACTAACAGTGTAATAGTGAAATAGCGAGCAAACAAGTCCAATCAAAGAGATAGTACTTCAGGTAATCAAGAATATATGGATCATATTCACATATAAGGATACAGTGGCTCATATCTCTGCTCTATCCCAGCTTGATCGATTGGTAGTTGACACTCCGTCAACTTTCAAGTAATAACTAGTCTAGAAAGAAAACCCCACTTCACGCCAGTCTCCGTCCACCGATCAACCCCCTTATCCGG